TTAGAACTGACTACATTGAAGAAAAGGGCCTCCAAGAGGGTGCTGGAGTAATTTTAAATGGCATTTAAAGTGCTTTTTAACCGCTGTGTTTGCTTTAAATTGTTTATATGTGCTTCATAGACTCTTAGGCTTGGTTATTTATTTATTTATTGCTACCCATATAAATAAATAGGCTCTCATCATCATCATCATCATCATCATCATTTTATTTGCTTATATCCTCGCTGTCTCCCAATATAAGGATTCAAGGCAGCTAATGGCAAATTTTAAACAGTACCATTTAACAACAATATGAAAGCATTTAAAAAAAATCATAAAGTCTTAAAACACAATTAAACAATTAAAAAAGTTAAAATAATTGTATGTGCTTTGTGTGCCTTCAAGTCCTTTCTGACTTATGGTGACGCTGTCCTGGGGTTTTCTTGCCAAGATTTGTTCAGAGGAGGTTGGCCATTGCATTCCCTTGAGGCTGAGAGAGTGTGACTTGCCCAAGGTTACCCAGTGGGTTTCATGGCCAGGCAGGAATAGACAAGGAATGAATTCCTGAAAGCTTTCTATCCAACCTCTGTGTAAAGGCCTCCAAAAGATGAGAGTTACCCACCTTCCTGTTGTTGTTGCTGCTGCTGCTGTTGTTGTTGTTATTATTATTATTATTTACTTGTGTCCCACCATTATCCCAATATAGGGACTCCAAGTCAGCTCTTCCACTGTAGAACAATTTACAAGAAAGTTGTTCTTTCTAATCTCTTTTCTTGCCATTTTAATCCCTTGGTTGGTCTCCTAGGGTGCATCTACACTACAGAAATGATGCATTTTGACACCGCTTTAACTACCATGGCTCCATCCTAAAGAATCCTGGATTTGTAGTTTGGCAAGGCACCAGCACACTTTGGCAGAGAAGGCTAAAGACCTTGCAAAACTACAAATGCCAGGATTCTTTAGGATGGAACTACAGCTCTTAGTTCCATTATTTCTACAGTGTAGATGCACCATAGATAGATAGATAGATAGATAGATAGATAGATAGATAGATAGATAGATAGATAGATAGATAGATAGATAGATAGATATGGTATTGGAGAGATATATCTTCTATATGCCATAGATAGATAGATAGAGGCATTTGATATTAGAGATCTTCTGTGCCATATATTAATAGATAGATAGATAGATAGATAGATAGATAGATAGATAG